TAATAAATGATGAAATAATGATGAAATAAGGATGTATTTTTTATTATAGAAATAGAAATATACAATAAAAAAAGCGTTTAATTTATTGATACAAAATATTTAACTTTATTTTATTTATGCAAATTATTTTATTCATTTTTATTTTTATGATTTTTATTTATATGTATTATTTATTATCAGTGTTATTATATAATCAATTATAAATGTTATATGATTAGTATATAATATATAATTGTAATAAATAATAAATAATAAATTCATATGATATAGATAGAAGATATAAAAATTAAATGAATAATAATAAATAATAAAGAAATAATGAAAGAAAAGAAATGATATAATAATAAATAAAATATATAAAAAAAAGATAAATAAAATCAATATAATATAAATAAAATAATAATAAATATAAATAGAAAGAAGATATAAAATATAAAAATATAATCAAAATGAAAATAAGATAAAGAAATGTATTAATATATAAGAAAATATATATAAATAGAAGTGTATTAATATATAAAATAAAATATAAATAATAAGAATATAAAATTAATAAAATAAGATAAATATAATAATAAAGAGATAAAATGATGATATATATAATACAATAATAGAAATAAATATAATAATAAAATACATAAATAACATAATAATAACATAATAATAAAATAAAAATAAAAATAACATAATAATAAAAATGTATAATTACATTGAATCAAATATCATTTCTGAATTATTTATATTTCAGAACAATTTATCATAAAATGATATAAAATATAAAGAAATATATATGAATATAGAATGTATATTTAATTTACATTTTTATTTTTTATTTTTTTTAGGAGCAAAATAATAAAAAGTATTATTTTATTGATGCAAAATATTTTGCCCTTTTCTTTTTGGGGTTTTTTATTTAGATGCATTATTTCTTTGCTTATTTTGGTTCCCCTTTGTGGGTAATCTAACTATGATTAGAATATTTCTAGTAGTTTATCTCTCTACTCAGTTAGATGATTCAAATAATATCATTGTATTCAATCAACGCCAAGTGATTTTCATGCATTCTTTTTAGTGAATATTCTATTTCATCTATTGATATTTTAATTCTCTTATTGTTACTCTTCTTTCCTCATTCTTCTATGATTCTTCTATTATATTTATTATTATCTATTTCTTTCTTATCATCTTCTATTTATATTTATTGTTTGTTTCTTCTTTCATCTTAATTTCTCTTTCATTATTTTTCTATTTCTTTAACTTCATTATTTCTTGTTTTACTTTCTAATTTTTTTTGTTTTTCAATCATCATCTTTTCATAAAATTATCTTTTATATTTATATCTTCTTTATTTATCTTGTTTATTCTTATAATATATTGATTAAACATTCTACTTCAATTATTGTATTTATGTTTATACTAATTATGTTTATCTGATAATGTGTTATTTATAAATTGATCATGATTATTATTTCATTGATAAGTGATTATAATAATTATATCTTTGATTATATCTTTTAAATCTATTTCTTGTTATAAAATTGATTTTATATGATTTCATTGTATTATTATGTTTTATAAAAGAAGAAAGGAAAAAATAATAATAAAATAAGAAGTAAGAATAAAGAAGAAAATGAAGAAACATAAAATATTAATTTCTTATTTAATCCTTATACATGGTTTATGTTCAAATAAACAATATTTAATATTTTCATTTCATTTCAATTACAATGATTTGTTGTAGTGTAAAACATTCTGGGAATTCTTTTCCACAAAGTGCATTTGATATTCCTTTATATGAAAATGAATGTTGTTTACAATATGATTGTATTTTATAATTTTCTTTGCAAGTACAAATATCATTTCCTCCAAATTCAAATAAATAGTAATTCATTTGATTAAATGAAATAAATGCATATTTTGGTATTTTAATATCAAATTTCATCATTTCTTGTATTCTTCCTTTTGATTTTAATGAAAATAAAAATGATTTTGAATCTTTTATATAACTACCAAATTTGTCAATTTTCACATTAACATATCTCCAAATTTATTTCCATCTGTGTCCTCAATAATAATTATTATGTGTTCTTTATTCTTTGATTAAATACTGATGTGTCAATGTTCCAATCATCAATATCTGAATCAAACAGTATATTAGACACTTTTCTTTCTGTCCATTCTTCTAGTTGTTTAATTATTTGTTTTGTTTTACTAATTGATGATTTGTTTAGTATTGATGTTGTTATTCCCATTGTTTATTTTTAAGTTCTTCTTTATTAATAACATTATTTATTTTATTGTTATATATCACATTTCATTAGTTTTGTTATTTTATTTAATCTCATATTTATTATTAAGTTCATTTTATGTTTTTAATAACATTTAAATTAAAATGTTATTATAAAATAACATTTATTTCTTCTTTTTGTTATTCTTTTTTTTTTATCTTTTAGAAGATAGCATGTCAGATACACCACACAAAAACCTAATATGTCAATGTTTCGAATCATCAGTTGTTGTAAGGTCCTGACATGCCTTTAGTGAAGTAATGCACCACCCAATACTAATTGGTTGTTGTTTATTATATTTGAGTTGAATACATGGTGTGTTATAAGAAAAATAAATTTTTTAAGTGGTGTTGATGATAAAGGAGATGAGGCATAGTCATAGTGTTATTGATATACTCAACATAAAATGACAACATAAATAATGAAGAGTTTCGATACTCATTTAATTCAAAATAAAAATCAGATACAACTTAAATGATGAATTATTTAATTTGAGAATGATTGAAAAAAACAATAAATGAATAGAAATAAAACATGATGAAAACATAATCATAAGCAGTTCATATTTAATTTCTTTTTTATCTTTTTATTTAGTTTTGTTTTATCTTATTATTCTATTTAACCTATTGAAGTGTTCATTGTATGGATCAAGAAATCTAATAAAAGTGAACGAACATTTCATAAAATACAATACATTTATATAGAAGATCAAATAAAATAAATGTGAGTAATAAATGATATGACAACAGTATGTGATAAGAAGATAATTCTAGTATTTACTAACAAATTTGAAATGTATAGACTTCTCCATTTCAAAATAATACAAATCAATAAACTAAAATAAAAACAATTCCAGCAGTAATATCAATAAATTGATTATTCAATAACGAATCAGTAAGAATACTAAAAGAACAAAGTATAATAATTGCATATAAAATAATGACAAAAGATATAATAATTAAAAACACAAAAGACTTAATGAAATACTGTTGACATTATAGAGGTGAATATAGAGATACAGAGGTACCTCATAAACAAATTATTCAATAGAGAATGACGTAATCTCAAATGTGTAAAGAGAAGTAGAGAAAACAAGAACTACTGATACTTAATTTATTAGTTTTTATTACTGATGCTATTAACTATTTCATAATTAAATTCAATATAATTTAGTAATAATATTTAAACTATTTCATTATAATATTTAATTTTATTATTTTTTCATTATTTGTATATCTATTCATAATAACTTTTATAATACTTCATTTTGAATGAACAATTATTAAAAACTCCAATAAAATTAAATACATATGAAAATGAAGGATTAAAAAAATCAATAAAAATTGAATTAATTACTTTTTTCTATACTCTGAGAAGAAACAGAAGTATCATTATTTTCATCAGTACCATTAGTTGTATTTGTTGTTGATTTTTGATCTGATGAAGAAATATCTTTAGATTTTGTGTTAGTTTTTGTTGATCCTGAATGATTCTTATTGTGAGAATCAGATTTTGATTTATCAGAAGTCTTTTTATAAATAACTTCCAATTCTGTTCCTATTTCTTTGAAAGTAGGTCTATCTGATGGTTTATGTTTCCATGCTTTTTCAATAACACTTTTCAGAATACAATCATCACTAACATGAAGTCTTTTTCCAGCACCTACAAATCTTAAAATTGATTCTGAATCAGGGAATTTCATTGGATCATAAGGATCTCTTCCTAACCAAATTTCTAACATACAAATAGCAAATGAATATACATCTGATTTTAATGTCATTTGATCTTTTCTTGTGATTTCTGGTGCCATATATACAGGTGTACCAATATTTTGTAAAGCAACTGAATTTGATGATTCAATAAATGAACGAGAAGTACCAAAATCAGTAACTTTAGCAGTAATAGGATCAGATGGGTTTTTGGAATAAACTAAAACGTTATCAGTTTTTAAATCACGATGAAGAATATCATTTTGATGTAAATATTCCATACCACGTGCTATATCTTGACAGAATCTTATTTTTAATAATTCGCTCATTGAATTTGTTTTCATGAATTTTCTTAATGAACCTAATGGACAAAATTCTGTTACAAGACATAATGTATCAGCAGTTGCTACACTTCCAATGAAATTTACAATATATGGACAACGAATACGTTCCATCATTTCTGCTTCTTGCATAAAATTAGGTAAAAGTTCTCCAAGATCAACTAAATCAGTTTTCATTACTTTAACTGCAACATCAACCATTCTCCATTCAGCACGATAAACAATACCAAATGTACCACCACCAATAGGTGGATGTTGTAAATGAATTTCTTCATAATCCAATTTAGTAGAAAGAGCAGATTCAACTTGAAGATTTAAATAAACATGGAATTTAGATACTTTAGATTTTTCTTTCTTTTTCTTTGAATCAGATTCATGAGATGATCCAAATTTTCCACTTCCTGAAGGTGTTAATTTTTGTTCATTTGTTTTATTAGTTGAATTTGATCCATTTGTTCCTGAAGATTTAGAACTTCTTTCACTTTCACTGTTTTGACTTGATTGTGAAGAATAGGCAATTAAGTCTGGATTTTCTTTTTTAATATCTTTTAATACATGTTGAAGTTGACCATAACGTATTGTAATAGGAACTTTTTCATTTAATATAGTAGTACATTTTGCCATGAATGAAATTGTTAAATCAACACTCTCTTTTGGTTTAATAGTTCCTGTAAATGGTCTACACATAATTTCATATTTTGTATAATCACCAGAATGGAATGTAAAATGCATTGGATCTTTCCAGTTATTTGTTAATTTAATAACACAATCTATTGGTTCATCAATTTCAGGTCTTGTATCACCAAAGTCAATAATATTAGAAGAGAATGAGAAATAAGGATTTTGTTGTTTTAAATCAATATATTGAGAATTTGTTTTATCAAATGGAATGATTGTATTTTCAAAAATAATCATATTTTCTTCATCAATTTCTTGTTTGATTTTTTTAGTTAATCTAACGTATAATAATAAGAAGAATATTAAAGAAAAGATATAGTAAAGAGCATAAACTATACTTCCAATTCCCCAATAAATAAAATTGATCATTCCTTGTGATCTACTACTACAATCTGCATTATTTTGAGAATACCATCCTGGTTGACATTCACATTCAATACATCCTTCTCCTCCATCACATTCTTCTCCTTCATCACATTTTTTATTTCCACATGTAGCAAGAATACATCCAGCTCTAGCATTTGCATATTTTTTTGTTCCATTTACACAAACACAATGATCACATCCATATCCTCCATCACATTCTTCATATTCATCAATTTTTCCATTTCCACAAGTTGAAACTGCACATTTTACTATACCATCAATTTCCACTGGTTGTGTTCCATATGTACATGTACAAACATCTGTACATTGTGTGTCATTATTTCCTTTAATAGTTGGATCACAATCTTCATTTTCATCAAGTATTCCATTCCCACATAATGTACATATTCCATCAACAAGAAGAAGTCCAGTCATACATTCACATTTTCCTGAACTAGTTGAACAAATACCACGTTTACCACAATCACGTGGACAAACTGTTTTAATTGTTAAATTAATTGAAGCAGAATATTCTTCGTTTATTTCAAGAAATAGGAAATAAAGATGTTTACTATCTATTCTCTGAATTAATCTAGCAAGACGAGAATCTTCACCACAACCTGATGTCCTTGTTGCAAGACATTTTGCTGGTGCTGAATTACAATCAATTGAACTAAGATCTGTTGAACTTGTATTTAATCCATAATCACTTAATTTTACTTCAATAAGATCAAGTGTAACATCAAATTCATTAGAATCACAAGTTGAAATATCAAGTGTTTGTTCACTTCCTTCTATCTTAAACCAAAATCCTTTACTTAGACTTGGATTACAAATACTTCTTGATGCCATAGCATTTGCTAATTCAAAAATACCTTGATATCCATTATTAGCACTAATTACATTTAGTTCTAAATCAAAAGAACTAGTAGAACATGCATGATTTATATCAGAAATATAGAGAGTAAAAGGAGGAATTGTGTTTGATGCATATTTTGAATGAACAAATAAATAATATGGTGTTTTTGGATAAATTACAGAAGTAATTCTTGGAGATAAAATATATTTAGATAACCCACCATTTCTATACAAACACTGTGGGTCGTCTTTTGAATCAACTGAATCAAGACAACTTTGTGTTAAAACAAATGCAAGTTCTGTTCCTATTTTTTTTCGTTGTGTTTCTGCAAGATTTACATCATCTATATAATATTTCTTATCTAATTCAATGGCTACCTTTGCTTCTTTATCATGAATTAATTCAATCCATACTCCATATGTATAAGGGCGAATTGGATCAACATATCTAGAACAATGAGTAAGTTGTAACTTTCTTCTTTCAATAGGTAATTCTGGAATATCAACTTTATATATAATAGTTTCACCACTAACTTTTACTTTATTTAAATTAATTCTAAATGGGTTTGTTTCTAATCCAAGTTCAGCAGTTAAATTATCAGAGTCATTAATAAAATTTCTACACGTTTGAACTGTAGAAACATCATAGGGTAAACAATTTCCTTCTCCAAACCACATATACCCTGGTTGACATCCAGTACAATCTTTTGTATATCTAGTTGTATTACATAAACTACACATATCTGGTTTATAACATCCATTCAAACAACCATCTCCATACATACATGACATAATACAATTTCCTTTCTTATCAGGTTTATATCCTTTTTCACATAAACAATTATTCCCACATCCTTCTACATTATCACATTCTTCAGTAAATGAATCCCAAATACCATCTCCACAAATAGAGACTTGATTAAACTCATCTTCAGTGACTTGTTGTGCAATTCCATTACTAATTAATAAGAGTAGACAAGTAATTAACATTAACATTACTTTTAGATTAATTCCAAAAAATTTGAGATTCTGATTCTTCAAAAACTCCGTTTGTTCAAAAATAGTATATCTTACTCACTCCCCATAAAATAGAACTTTCTTTTTTAATTTGAAGTTACTTATTTTTGTAGAATTTGTTTATTCGGTTTTATATTTAATTTATTTCATTCTATCCTTTTGATAATTCTTAATCTCATTTTAAAGTATCTTTTCCTTAACCCAAACTATTACTGACTTCTTTTATTGATATTAATTCTTTTCAAATGATTATGCAAACTTATTTAATTTTTGTTTCCACAACTTCGTCCACAAATATGACATATTCAACCGATTAATTCTTCTAATATTTATTAAAAATCCATTCATATAACAAAAATAGAAACCAAAATTAAAGGAAATAAACTAATTTTACAACAATCATATGGAAGCTTCATTTTCTACAAAATGTAAAAAAAAATTTCACAGAATTAAAATCCGTTTTTTCCTTTAATAAGGTACTTCTCAAGTTTATAGTTTAAAATTAATTAAATATACTAATTAAATTTATGTAAATAATTTAGAACTATAATTGAGAATAAGCATTTCAACGATTTTAAAACCTTTTTAGTCATAATAAAAATATTTAATAAGTTATATTTATTAACAGAGTATTTATTGGCTGAGTTCTATTTGTTTATTTGATACCTAAACTTATTTCATTTATATTACACTTCATTACACAATCATTGGAATTTTAGAAAATCGAATACATCCATTGTATTCAATTTTTAGATAATTATTTTCTTTTAACAACGAATTAATTTTGTTAGTGTTTTTATAATATATTTCGTTAATTTACTTATACTTTTAATTGAACTACTCACTCATTTCATTTTCATTAAAATCAGATCAACCAATTTTTCACTAATCCCTTTAATGAAAAAACAGTCTGAATGTTAGGATGAAGATTTAAAAAGTAAATTAACTTGTTAATATCAGCAAAATGAAAAACCTTCTACTACAAACCCATTTCAAATGAGAAATAACTAAAAATAGTTACAATAATTTATTGAATTAAATTGTATTTTATTTTTTTTTTAATTAATACAAATATTAGAACATAGTTATGATAATGTAAAACTCTTTTTTGTTAAGATGGTAGCACTATTGCTCTCCATTTTTCGATAAATTTTAAACAACCAAAAAACACTGTTTATACTACTTATTTGGTTATATGCATTGATACGAATAATAATTACTTACATACTTTCATTCGTCGTTGTATTATATTAAAAGATAAAGATGTGTTAAGAGTTTGAATGACATAATGATTATTTACACTCTGGTAATTTAATAAAATGATTCAATTCAAAGTATTATTACAAACGTATTACTGACACAATTATTATATGCTATTACAATGATATATTCTTTAACTTGGTTTTATTATGTATGAATTATCTGATTGATTTCTTTCTTATAATACAACTTTGATCAATATGAATAAATAAATGAATATGAGATTGAAAGAGTTATTTCTAAAGTATTACAGCAAGTAAGATAATAAGTACTTTCAGTTGTATTTGTTATATGAATAACCATGATTTATATTTCTAGATAATTACAAGCTGATTGAGTAAAATTTCATATGAAAATCAATTCTTTAAGTTCATTATTTGAATTATTATTTCATTTTTATTTGGAATATCTTGTTTTTATTACATTATCAATTCAAATGTATTCTATAGAAATGACTCAACTCTTCTTCACAAATAAAATAGTAGAACTTTACATGTAGATTAACACCATCTATATCTCATCTATTGATAATTGGTTTTCATTATCAAATGTTGTAATTCATAATAATCGATATATTATTATAAGAATAGTGATTTATGAATATATCAAAATACAACACAAATGTCAGAACTAGTAGTAAACAAGTATTGATTTGTTTAGAATTAAATGGTATTTTTTAAAGTAGGTTTTATGCTTATTACAATATTGTTAAACCAACATTTTATTCTCTAAAATGAAAATAAAGAAGAACATAACAATATGAATTATTGTTTATATTTCTCATTATATTTTATTTTAGCAGTGTTCAGAATATTTCTATTTTCTATTTTACTTACAATTTTCATTATACTTAACACTTTAATATCATTATTCGTTCAACAACAAATTTCTCATTTCTTGTTCCAATAAATTGTTGTTTTGGAATGCTTATGAATCCTCCTAAATCTTCTACACTTTCCATCTTATTTAAACGTCCAATTTTGATATTTTCATTCCATCCACCAAATCGAAGAATATAATTTTGATTTGAATGAATAAACAATTTAGGTATTTCTTTTGTTTCTTCATTTCTCCATAACTTAGATGAAAGATTTAGTTTGTTTTTAAATCCGTAAAATGTCATTGATTTATCCATAATAATACCTGAATAATCCTTTTTTGTTACTTCTAGTGAAATACCAAAAACATTTCCTTCATTTCCTTCAAATAAAATAAGCAGATTTCCTTTGCACAGTAGTGTTCTTTTTAATATCTCAACTGAACATCCATTGATGTCACTGTCATATATTATCTCCATCTCTCTTCCTTTATTCCATTGATGTAAAATGTAATGTGCCTCTTCTTCTTTAATTCTTTTATCACAAATCCCTTTACATTTATTATCTAATAACTTGATTTCTTTTTCTATTATTTCTCTTGTTATTTCAATGTTTTTTTCGATACCTTTAATACTGTCATTGAGTTGTTTATGTTTGTTATTCAATTCGTTTGAAAGTTCTTTTAATTTTGTGATATTTGGTGTGTTGTTTATCATTGTTTCAAGTTGCTGATTCATTCCAATTCTTCGTTGAATAATGTTTGTTTCATCAAATTGAATTTCTAGTCTTTTTTTGTTGTTCATCTCTATTTGTGATAAAGTAAAACTAATTTGGTCTATTATTTCTTTCATTCTCTTAATTTCTTCCATTGGCTTTTCTTGCATGAATTACTTTTATTTGTATTTTTGAGTTAAATAAAACTTAATTAATAAAAATTCATTTCATTTACGTACTTTGTTTTGGTGTACTATGATTGGTGGTGGTGTTTCTTCTTCTCTACCATTTCTGATATATCACAAACTATTTTATTACCACTGTTCATCATTGGATCAATTTCTTCAACTAAATAACAAACATTTGCCATTGCCTATACCTCTGGTCTTTTGTTGTTTGTTTCTTCTTCAAGACATCACCTCTTCTGATTTCTTTTTCTTTTCTACAAAATGTTTTTTATTCAACCATTTCCATTTGTCTGACTTTTATCCTCATCATTTGCTCTTCACTCTTTCTTTCTTGGTGTATAGTATTATTACTTATTTATCTAGTCTTTTCTATTTAAATTCACACGACTCAATACACTCTCTTCTCTTTCTTTGTTCATCTTCTGTTCCTCTTTTATTTTTTTCCTTTCTTTTTAACATTTGATATAAATAGATCATTAACAAAAATAACTTAATTATTGTTATTTGCTTTTTATTCAAATTTGTCGTATTTATTTAGTTCATTGTTTGATTATCACTTGTTCTTCATTAAACGTACTGTTTCATTCTTATTATTGTTTAAATAAAATTTATTTCATATGTTAGATTGTAAATAATAATATAGAAGTTAGAAATCATTTTATTTTAATCATTGATACTCAATGAATAAATCAGACATAGTAAATATAAATTGTATTATTTCTGCTTTTTTATTCTTGATATTTATTGGTTTTGTTATATTATTTTATAATACTCTCTATTATTTGTTTGTGTTTTTATCTTCTACCTCTGTATTAATTTACTTCACAAAATTAAAAACGATTTATTTATAGATTTATTTAAATATTTCAATGAATTAACAATTTATCCACAATGAATATAATTTCTCTATTGAGTATCTGTTAAATTCATCATTATTTCTTTCATTTTCAAATAAAAATATAGTAGTAAAAAAACAGAAATAGAACATTCTCATAAATAATATACATGAAGAAATGTACATGAAATAGTGATGTCCACCAATTTTTAAAAGAGTAGATGAACATTTGATATAATGGAGAGAAAATAAGATTTTCAATAAAAAATTAATAAAAGTTAGTTGAAAAGAAGAAAGAGACAATAATAGAAAAATCATAAATTTATAGAATGACAACAGAAGAGCAATAAAAACAAAATAAAACAACAATAAAATAGAAACAAAAGAATAATAGAATAGAATAAAAAACAGTTATTTAAAATATTTTATAAAATATTTTATAAAGAAAATTCATTCTAAAAGAAAACTAAAAAATTCATAAAATAAAAAGAAGAAAGAAAGTGAAAACAAAGAACAAAAACTTTGAAAAACTGACATTGAATAATGAAATTTATATTACAATCATAGTACAGTCAAAAAATGTAGAACAAACTATAAAAATAAGAGAAAAGAGGGAGAAAGACACAAAAAACGTAGAGAGAACAGTCCAAATAAAACCATAAATTAGATAAATTTATAGTAAGATAGAAATAATAGAAGAAATAATAAGAATCAAAAATAAAAGAAAAAATAAATTGACTAATTTTTTTCTTTGAGGAGGTAGTGAAAAGTAGGAAAATAATTTTAATGTTGGTTTTAGTTTGACTGTTCAAAGATTTTGTTGGAAGTTTAAAAAATTCCTGATTTAGTACTACATAGACTATTAAAACCTTTGATAATAATTTTCTAATAGTCTCATTATTTAAACACTACCAAACTACTTTTTATCATTCAATGAAAGGAATTTTATCACTCTTATTTATTTCATTTGTTTTCTCAAAAGATTTGGTTGTAACACTTATTGAAGATGATGATAGAAATGCTGTTAAATTCATTAAACTTGAATTTGAAAAGTGTTATCGTACTTCTTCTATAAATTCTTTTTATCTTACTCATGAAGGTAATTCTGTAACTTGTAAGACATATTTAAGTACAGGTGATTGTTCTGGACTTCTTAGTACTAGTTTTACTGCTGATCTTAATGATCGAAAAATAAAGAAATTTCTTTGTTCTAGTTCTGGAGATAATGAACAATGTAGTCTTGAAATTAAAAGAGCTCCAAGACATAATGGGTTCTACAGTTTGTTTTCAGATGATTCAACTTGTTCACATAGAGATAATACTACTAGAATTTATGTCACTAACAAAAAATATAAATGTGATACTATTAAAGGATATTATTGCAAATATGAAGAAGAAGATAATGTTATGTATTTTGATACATATCCTAATAATAATATGAAAAAAGATGAAAGAATTTCTCATACTAAATCATGGAATTGTGATGTTTGTGAAAATGGAATTATGTATCAATGTGAAGCAGTTTCAATTGTAATTGTTTCTGCTCTTTTTATTCTTGCAATTTTTTTCTAATTTTACTTTCTTTAATTGAGAGTTTTTTTAAGAGTATTTTTTAATCTCTTATTTCATTAGAATGGTTATAATAAAAATGTTGTAATGTGTTAACATGAAAATTATGTATAATATTTATAAATTAGATATAAAGAATTTGAATAAAAGTTTATATTAATTAGATAAGAGAGAATTTATACTGTCTAAATAATAACAATATTATCTATAAATTTACTAATATATAACCCAAGAATTAAAAAAGATTCATTTTATAAAATAATAATAGATTTTCAATAGTGTCATAAATAGTTAATAAAAACACAACCTATTTAATGTTTTATTCATGAAATTCATAGTACCTATAACCAGGATTTATTTTTTTTTTAAATTAAACAACAATTGTTAATTATTTTAGTTTAATGGTACAAATTCACTATAATATTAAATGTTCTGTTTTAACTACTTTTTATTTCTATTACTTCAATTTAATGATAATAATGAGTATTTATTTTTTGTTATCACTATTATTTAAGATTGTTTATTCTCAAAAACAATGTCACATGTTTAACTTTATATTAGGTTTACTTGTTAATTATCTTTTAATTATTTATTTCATTGGATTATTTTTAAGTTTATGTTAATGAAAATTTATTATGTTGTCAGTTATACTTGAATATAAACATATAAAATTTAATTAACAATAACATTCTTTTAATTAAATTATCAAAATATATCATTTAACATTCATTTTCGTTATAATTTTTCATTTTTGAATCTATTCGTTTTTTTGTTCTTTCTTAAATATCTCTAATTTTGATTATAATAACTTTTATTTTGCATGATATATATTAGTATGTTATAGATATTATATTTTTACAATTAGTTAATACTAGGTATTAATATTATGCCATAGAAAGAAATGATAATTTATTGTATTGATCCATTTCTAATAAAAAATATTCAAAACTGAATAAAAGAATAAAGAAATAATTATGATAGCAGTACTAACATTAATTTTAATTTATTTGGATTAATATTATTTTCAGTATTCTTGGTTAAGTAATTTAAACATTAATACTTACACTCTAATAGAATTTAATAATAATAATAGGACAGTACTAAATTCAAATAAACACTAATGTTAATTATAATAATGATATTTGAAATGATAATATTATAATATTATAAAATCTTTTATATTCAAAATAACTTACTATTGTATATTTGAATAATTAAGTATTAAATAATACTTCTTCATAATTTTGAATAATATTAATGGATAATGAAACACAAGACAATAATAAAATCAGTTGGAATAAATATTTAAAACATAACACGATAAACTAATAGTAAATGAAATATAAAAAGATTGTAAAAGAATAAATGAATATAAAAATTAAAGAATGATAAATAAAGAATGAAAATAGTTAATAATTAAATAATATGAAAATGAAGTAATTAGAGAAATACAGTAGTATTAAACAAATGAAAATGAAATAATAAGATAATTAATAATTATTTGATAAACATTTTATTTATTATATTATTTTTATATCCATATTATTCTCTTCTATTGTTGATAATTTATATGTTATTTATTGTTTATTATTTAATAGTGAATCATATTATTTAATAACGAGTTTTTTATTAATTATTAACAGTATACTCTCTTTTTTGATTTGAACTTTAATTCTAAATGATTAAATTGATAATAATAATAATAAACATTTTAATTATCATTTATTATTTGGTGATTAAAATAAAAATTATTATATTTGATAATTAATGATTGAAGTAAAAAATTCATTCATTCTTCAATTTCAATGTCATTTATTAATAATAATTCTCTTTTATTATTATTATTATTATTTTTCATATATCTCAATAAAAATAAAATGGTTATAAAGTATAAATTAGAATAAACTTGTTGCAATTAGTATATTATTTCATTTGTTATTATCATTTCTTTCAATTCTATTATTCTATTATCAATCTTCTTTCTCAAAACAGTTTCTTGGTATTTGTATATTTCGTTTTAATTCGAATTCACAACCACAATTAAAGAAACACGATTTCCCAAATGATGTGGTTGATGTTGGTATATCAATATTAGTTAATGACGTACATCCACTAAAACACCAATCTCCTATTTTACTAATTGATTTCGGTATATTAATATTAGTTAATGAAGAACAACCATAAAAACAATACACATTTAAAACACTAATTGTTGTTGGTATATTAATTGATTTTAGTGATGAACATTCATAGAAACAATAACTTCCTATTTTACTAATTAGTGTTCGTATAGTAATTGATGTTAATGAAGTACATCCAGTGAAACAATAATTACCTATTTCACTAACTGTATATGGGACATTGATAGACCTTAATGAAGAACAATCTTTAAACCAATTATCTCCAATTTTACTAACCGTAGTTGGTAATGTGATTGATGTTAATGAAGTACATTCATAAAAACAATTATCTCCTATTTTACTAACTGATAATGGTATGTTAATAGATGTTAATGTTTTACAGTTCAAAAAACAATTATCTCCTAATTCAGTAATTGATGGTGGAATGATAAATTCATTAATATCTTGTTTTATAAAATTCATTTTATTGATTAGTTTTAAATTTTCTGGTATTTCAATACTAACTAATACTGGTTCATTGATAAAGATCCTATCTTCACTAATGAACTGTATAGTCCCTATATTAATTTCTATTAATGAACTACATTCAAAGAAACAATTACTTCCTATTTTACTGGTTGTTGATGGGATATTAATTGATTTTAGAGATAAACATTTATGAAAACAACTATTTCCTATTTCTTTAATTGTTATTGGTATTACAATTGATGTTAATGAAGAACATAAACCTAAACACCAATCTCCTAATCTAATAATTGATTGAGGAATAGTGATTGATGTTAATGATGAACATATCCAAAAACACCAATCTCCTATTTCTTTGATTGTTGTTGGAATATTGATATTAACCAATGACATACAATTACTAAAACATTCATATCCTATTGATGTAATTGTTGATGGTATAATGATTGATTCTAATGAACAACAATTATTAAAACAATAATCTCCTAATTCACTTAATGATGATGGTAAATTAATATTAGTTAATGAAGTACATCCACTGAAACAACTGTTTCCTATTGATGTAATTGTTGATGGTAGAGTAATTTCTTTTAATAATAAATATTCTGAAAAGTGATTTTCTTCTAATCTACTAACAGTTGTTGGAATAATAACACTGGTTAATTGTTTGTTTTCATCTAAATAATTATTGACAGATAGTGGTATTAGTTGAGTATTGACATTGGTTAAAGAAGTACAACCATCAAAAATATTATTCTTAATTGATTTAATAGATGTTGGAATATTTATATGAGTTAATGAAACACAGTTTTTAAAACACTCATCTCTTATTTCAGTAACAGATGTTGGTATATTTATTTTAGTTAATGAAGAACATCCTAAAAAACATTTATTTCCTAATTTACTAATTGTTGTTGGGATATCTACTTCTGTTAATGAAGAGCAATCTCCAAAACATTCATTTCCTATTTCAGTAATTGATTTTTGAATATTAATTTCACTTAATGAAGTACACCCAATAAAACACCTCTCTCCCAGTTTCATTATTGTTTCAGGAAGGGCTATTTTAGTTAATGAAGTCATTCTATGAAAACATTCATAACCTAATTCACTAATTGATGATGGAATAGTAATAGATTGTAATGACCCACACCAACTAAAACATTCTCTTCCTATTTTAGTAATTGATATTGGTATAGTAATGTTTCTTAATGATGCACATCCTCTAAAACAATTATTTCCTAACTCACTAACTGATGTAGGTATATTAATTGATCTTAATAATGAACATCTATTAAAACAATTTTCACATAATTCTCTGACTGATGATGGTATATTAATTATTTTTAATGAACCACAATTATTAAAACACTCTTTCCCAATTTTACTCACTGATGTTGGAATAGTAATCAAATTCAAATAATTACATTCTTCAAAACATTTATTTCCCAATGAAGTAATTGTTGATGGTATAGTGATTGATGTTAAATTTTTACAATTATAAAAACAATTTTGTTCAAGTGATTTAATTTCTGGTGGTATTGTATTTCCATATTTATATCTATCTTCTTTTGTATATTCTATATTTTTACAGATATTTCCTGCTTCTTTTTCTTTTAAATATGTTGAATAATTAACTTTATACCATATTATTTCTTTAGTTATTCTTCCGTCATCAAATATTTCATCATTATAACAATAGATATAAAATGTTTCAATATTAGGAAAGAATCTTCTTGAATATTCATTTAATGGAATTGGATTAAAATGAAATCGTTCCATATTTCCTTGAAATCTTTTAACACCTATTTCTAAATTAATAAAATCTTTAATATCATTAAAATACTTTGATGTTATCATTATTTCATTATGTCCTATTCTTCTTTTTCCAATTATTCTTTTATTGATTTTATTATTGTATAGTATTCTTTTGATATTTATTATCATTTCTCTTTCTGATGAATATTCTGAATATTCTTCTTCTTTTTCTATCATTTCTATTATTGTTTTAATATATGTTTCTTTGTTGATTTCTTCATATCTCCATCTTTTTGTGTTTATTTTGTTTTCTTTTTCTTGTTTTATTTTATTATTTATTATTATTCCTTTCTCTTCTTTTTCTTCTGTTATTATTTTATTGATTTCTTTATTTTCTTCTATTCTATTGTTTGTTCTTATATTATTTATTATTCTTATTTTTATCTTATCTTTTTCTTTTTTAATATTTCCATATGTTATTTCTGTATTTTCTATGATAAGAATTGGTGTTTCTATGTTATATGCTTCTGAAAGTATTCTTTCAATTATATGATATTTCCGTATGATTTGTACATTATTTAATCTTCCCAGTTTTGTTGAATTTTCTATTCTTCTTTCATTTCCTTGACTTGTTCCATTAGGAATAAAAATGATTGTTCTTTCATTTTCTCCTTTCTTTTCTACTTCTTTCTTAATATTATTGAATATTATTGATAATTTACTTTCTGGTTTAATCATCATTTCTACTCCTTTAATATTTTCTTTTCTAATTTTCACATTCTTCTTATCATTGGAAATGATTTCTTCAATTATTTTCTTTTCTTCTTCTTTTAAATATTTCATTCTATCAATTCTTTCATATTCATTTCCATCATACAAATACACATTCATTTCATCATATTCAATATCAATTATCATTGTTACCATTCTAGGTTTCATCTCTTATTTATTTTTAAGTTCATTAAACTGTAACTTTTATTTATAATTCGAAAACATTCTTTTTGATTATTTTATTTATTTTTATTGAATAAATTAAAAACGTATCACCAACCACTTTATTTTTATTTTGTTGTTTGCATTGAATAAGTTCCCTTTTTTCATTTTTACTATTATCTTTCTTTAATAAATTAAAACATTTTAATTCAACCACTTTATCACTGTTATCACTGATACAGTTCATTGACTTCAGATATTTCATTCAAATTATCTTTATCATTATTTTGTTTATTAGTACTTTCTCTCATTGTTCATTTTATTTCTTTTTTATTAGCATTTTTAATACGAATGTTTGTTCCTTTCTTTTATTTTCTTTTTGTTTATTTATCTTTTATTGCTTATTATTTTTTGATTGGATTTATTGTTTATAATCATTAGTTTATTATTAAGAGGATTTGAAGTTTTTTGAATAACCATCATGACAATAAGTTATTTAAAAAAATGTCAATTAATAGAAATATCCACAATTGGATTTTCTTCATATTAAGAAGTGATTACTTCAGTGAATTCAATATGCTCTACTACAATAGAGTTCATTTCTAACAAGCATCAACATGATAATAAGTGATTTTAATAACAAAATAATAGAAAATGGAATAACTTAGTGAAAAAATTGAAATAAAATAGAGCCAATTCAAACTAACATTTCTCTTTCATTAACTTCATATCTATGGTATGTAAATTTATCTTATTCTTTTTTGTTTTATGTCTTATTTCCTATTCTACTTATGACTAGAAGGTTAAACGTAAGAAACACCACTTAAACATTAAAATAAATCAAAACTTTGAATCAACATTTATCATCTAACTATAGTGTTATTTTTGATGAGATAATACTCCATTCAAAAGTGATTAATTGTTATTTATTATATTTTATTATGAGTGATTATTAATGTAGTATTATTTAGCAATGTTCAAATACATTTGTTAATGATAGTTTTGAGTTAAATAGGTATTATCAAGAAAGATAGTTTGGTGAGTAGTTGAGGAGATGAACCATAAACATAATATATTGACATGTTCATCATAAAATAATATTACAAACAACGACAAGCTTTCACACTCATTAAAATTAAAGCAAAGATGAGATTAGTTAGGTTAAATGAATCATCTTATTTTAGAAATTTGAAAAAACTTTAGTTCAATCCAAATGAAGGAATGAGGATTAGAGAATTACACACCTCAACAAGACAAAAAGCTAAATGATAGGTGAGTAGTGGATGAGTAGGCATTCATAAAACAGAGAGACGTGGTTAGTCAGTAGTGAACAAAGAACAATGGAAAATAAAATTAATACACTCTTAATTAACTTCTTTTTATTTATTTTGTTTCTTATATTCTTGTAACATTTTTCTTCTTGTCATTTTTTCTATCTCATTTCGTTTCTCTTTCTTATTAGTTTATCAGTGTGTTGACTTAAAATGACAGAATGGAATAACATTTATTATTTAACAAAATACTAATTATTATTTATAATAATTTAAACTATAATAAGATGGTAAATAAAAAATGAAAATGCCATTTAAAATTTATTGAAGAGTAAAATAGAATTCAAATAAAACAAATTTGTCAAATAATTTATTTCATGTTTCTCTTTAAGTTAAATTATAAAAATAGATGTTCTATTATTAATTTAAAGACGAACTTAAAATGAGAACTTAATAATAAATGATAAAAATAGAAAAAGAAGAAGAAAAAATTGTCTTTTCTTAAAACATCACCATCATTTGAGTTATTAACATCCTTATTACCACTTCTTTTATATTCTACCTTGATAAGATTGTTGAAAACATAACTAACAAGACCAGTGATTGCTATTGGTTATATCTAATTCTCTCATCTTCTTTCTTTTTTATTCGTATAATTGCAATGTTATGATCATAAGTTATAAAGAAAATTAGGTAGTATTTCATTTATGTAAAGAAATCATTGATAAAATGGACAGTGACAGTGAGTGAAGAATAAAATAAGACATAAAGAATATACCAGATTGATGAGAACACAAGATGTTACAAGCGTGATAAAATCGGTGATGAGATACAATCTCATCAAATCAACAAATGTTCGATTAATATACCCAACGTTGTTTGTGCGTTGTTAAATTGAATAAGAATGTGCATTTTATTAACAGTAATGTTGTACGTTAATAGTTAGAGCATGTTAAGAAGAAGAATAAAAATATGAAGAAATATGAAAATGAAAGAAAAGCGATATGAGAAAATAAAAGACAAACCAATTATTTATTAATAAATATAATTTATCTTCTCATTATTTGTAGCTTATTTGTTTGTCTTTCATTTCTGTTCTAGTTAGTATTTATCATATGTTTTGATAATTTATTGAATCCTTAACAATAAAATATCATTTATTTCAACAGTATTTATGTGTGAATGACATTCATTCTTATTAACTCATACTTAGCATTATTTCTTGATTTATTCTGTTCATTCGTACTATGAAAAATAAACTAATTTTCTAACAACACATCTGAATTATTATTTCTTCTTTTTGTATCTTTATAACTATTTAACTTATGATAGAACATCTTCTATTTCATATAACAAATTTATGTTGAAGAATTTCTTACTTCAAAGATGTTAAATAACTGTTTTGTCATCACATTAATACAACGTTTTCATTCATTAATCAATCATGGTTTACTCTTTATATCTTTTTATCATTCGTCATGACTTTGTCAGTTATTTTTCTTTATAAATGATAAAGTTTTGTTTTTTATCATTTCAACACTCTTCTGAGTAATATTTGAGATTGTAATTTGTTATTTCCATCATTTCTAATAAAATCATCACTAATTATCATTCCATCTACTCTTACAATCTAATCACCACAACAAAGTACAATATGACAAATGGATAAAAAGATAGAATAACAAATACAATAATTTGAAAAGAATGATGAAGCTATTTCAAAAACAAAAGAAATAATAATAACAAACAAGAAGAAATGAAATAGAAAATATGACTAATATGATGATAACAAGATGTGATAGTGAGTAATAGTAATTCGTTAATTAATGAATATTATAACGTTTAAAATGAAATAAAAGAAGAAAAACAAGAGAAATTATAATAAGAAGAGAAGAAAATAAATAATCTAATAGAATGATAGAATGATAATGTGTTAATATAATAAGAATAAATGTTTAATTTCATATTTTAAATATATAGATAATATTATAATATCTTGTTGAAGAACAAATAACCAATAAATAAAAATAGCAAGCCAAAAAGAAAATGAAGAAGAAAATAAAAATATAAATGTATCAAAAAAGGTGTCAAGAATGAGAAGTTATACTTGGTTATATATTAAATGGTATTAATATATTAATACGCTAGTATAATAAAGACAATAAAATCAAAATATAATTTATTAATTTATAATCATTCATTCTATTGGTTATGTTAATTGAAATGTTTTTATTCTTTTTTATTATATTTTCATTATTTTTCATTATAATAACTGAAAATATTCTCAAGTATAACTACCAAAAAGAGTAATAAATACATAAATAATAAATCTTTATTTCAAATAATTTATTAAAATAACAACATAATAAGATATAGTGAAAATGAAAAATTTATTCATTCGTGTTATAAAGTTTAAAACATTAATTTGTAGAAAATGAAACTGATTAAAATAATGGTTTTATTAACATCTTCTCATTATGATAATTTACCTATTTAAAATAACTCAAAACAAATAGAGTAGATAATTTGATTATTTTTCACAGTACCATATATTTCTATAAAATAAAACAGTACTACTTAAATTAAATGAAAATATCATAATTTATTTCTTCATTCAAAGTTATTAGTAGCTTAAGAACTATGTTAGATGGTTCTCATTCAAGAAAAGATTTTAAGAATGAAACGAATAAAAGAAGAAATTAATAGAAGTAGATAGAAGAATAAATAAGTGTCAAGAATGTCAGATTTGAGTGAAAAGAAATTAAAAATATTAGAATTTGGATGAATATTTTTATTGATATTAAACAATTAAAATAGTCTTTTTAAATTTAGTTTTTTTAATTACCAAAAATGTAATAAAATACATAGAACTCATGAAGAATTTAATATACAAAAAATAAAAAAAGAGAAAGTACGAAGAAAGATTAATAATATTTAAATGAAACAAATAAACGAGAAATACAATCAATGAGTATATTGTTTATTTGTTTTTTATTTGGTATTGTAATGTCTGAATCAATAGTCATTACTATAATAAAAAGTACTGAAGGAAATGATATCGTATTTAAAACTATTGACTTTGGCAAATGTTACTATACAGGATCAGTAACTTCAGATTATTATATTCATAATGGTAATAATATTACAATTTCACATTATACTAAATCATCAACATGTACTGGAGATAAAGAAGAGAATACAGTTGATATTAATAGTGAAGAGTTTAAAAAGTTTTGTTTTAACAGAGATATATGTACTATTGAAATTAAAGAAATACCAGATTATGTTGGATATCTTACTGATGGTATTGATGACGATATGTGTACACACAAAAATAATATGTATCTGACTTATGTAATAGGCACATGTGGTAAATGTAATGAAAATGATGAAGCTTATTGTATGTACAAGGTAGAAAATGAAACGATGTATGGAAACACTTATTCTAATAGTAAGTGTGATGAAAAAGGAAAAGTTTACAGTGTAGAATTATAGAAATGTGGGGTATGTGAAAATGGAACTACATATAAATGCGGAAATAAGACTACGAATCAAGAAAATAGTTCTGATGATCGTTCTGATGAAAAATCAAATGACTATTCAGAAGGATCTAATAATAAAGAAAGTAGTTCAAATAATAATGGTCAATCAGAGGATACTTCAAACAGTAATTCAGAAGAATCTAAGAATAAAGAAGATGATTCTAAGAGTCAATCCGATGAAAAGTCGATGAACCACTCTGAAGATGGATCAAAGGGACACTCAGAAGATAGTTCTAGTGCTCATTCAGATGGAAATTCTAAAACTCATTCAGAAGATGATTCAAAAGATAGCATAGATAGTGCACCATTCCCTATTCTCTCCCTTATTGGAATAGTGGTTATATTAATTATTTAACTAACATGATAGTTTTATTAAAATTGGAATATTTTAATGTTGAAGTTAATAACAAATAGTTTTTTATAATTATCAATGAAAAAATTAAGTAAAATGTCTGAGTCAAAATAAATGGTTGATTGTCTCTGATATTGGTTTATTTAGAATTTTCATCAAACAGAAGTTAGAAATGACACAGATATCATTATCATATAACTAATGATATAGTAATGTGATATGAATGAAAGATATAGAATATAAAGAAATAATAATAAAATTAAATAATATAATGAAATAATTTAAATAATAATAATAAATTATAATGAAATTAATAATGAAATAGTTAAATATAATAATATAATATAATAAATAATAAAAATAAAATAATAATTTATTTTTATTTATATTATTATTTTATTTTATTTATTTATGATTCGAAGGTAGCACGTCAGAGACACCACACAGAACCCTAAAATATTTCCGTCCTTCGATTCCTACCAGTTATGGACTGGTTATGACGTAGCGTTTGGTTAGAAAAACATCTTACCCGCTACTGCAAGAATAGCAGTGTTTATTATGTACAATGACAGAATATCATTGATAATAAACGAATGGGTATTTATAAAGATGTTATTATTACTTGTTAGAATACAAGTATAATTGATAATATAAGAAAGATTATCAAAGGAAAAGGGTCAAGTGGTTGAGGCTAAAAGAATATTAGCCCAAAGCAATACAGTCGTAATTATATATTCTCCTTAAAATAAGAAAATAAAGAAGAAATTTAAACGCATCGAAATTAAAAAGAAATTAAATAATGAATATTTAAATAAGGGATGTTTAAAATACTCTATTCCACATCAAAAATGAGAAAAGAAAATTCTCACCGTTCAACAACTAAAAACAAAGAATAAGCCAAAAGTTGAAGAACAAATACTTTTAAGCGAAGGGATGGGATTAGTAGTCTCCCCTGAGCAAGGAACAATAGAAGATATTTCTATTAATACTTAATTATCTACTTTTTATTTTATTTTATTTATTTTCTCTTATTTATTTTTATCATTTTCTTTTATATTCTTTATTTTCTTTCTTTAATATTATCTTCATTGATTAATTAATATGTCATCATTTTCTATTTGATTAAATAATAAATGATATATATTTCATTTATATTAACATTGTATTTATTATTATATATTTATATTCATAATAAAGAAATATATTTAATTAATAATATCATCTTCATTATTATTAATTATATTTCTAATGGCAACTAAAAAAAGCAAATAAGAGAAAAAGGAAGAGAAAGAATGATATGAAAGAAAAAAGTGAAATTAGGAAGTAGAAGAAGATGAAAAGAATAAAAGTAGAAAGTTGAGATATAAAATGAAAGAAGATAAAAATGAATAATTCAAAAAGAGAAAATAAAAGATGAAAAGAATGATGAAATAAATGATGCATTTTTTATTATAGAAATTAGAAATATGAAATAAAAAAGCGTTTAATTTATTGATGCAAATTATTTATCATTATTTTATTTATGCAATTTATTTTATTCTTTTTTATTTTTATAATTTTTATTTATATATATTATTTATTATCTTTTTCTTTTTAATATATTGATTATTTTATTTTATTATTTATCATTCTTTTATTTATTTTTCTCTATTCTTTTATTTGTTCATTTTTATTATATTTATGAAATATTTCAATATTATAAAATAATTTTATTATTTAATTATTTAAATGATTTAGATTAAAATGAATTTATTTTATATTTTATTGTTTTCTTTTATCTTTATTTTATATTTTAATAATTTCTTTAATATCATCATTTTATATTATTATTATCTTTATTCTTTCATATTTTTATTATTTATTATTATTGTGTTTTCATTTCTTATTTTATTTTAATTTATTATTATGTTTATTTATATTTCTTTTCTTTCTTATTATTCTTCTTTATTCTTATTATTTCTTTATTTCTTATTTTTCTATTTTATTTATTTTCATTTTATTCTTATTTTCATTTCTTGTTTTGATTATTTTGATTTGATTTAATTTTAATTTTTAATGTTATTATATTTTTGATTATTATTATTTATTTATCATTTGTTTATTATTATTATCATTTGATTTATATTTATTATTTATTTCTTTTATTATCTTCTTTTCTTTATTCTTTATTATTTATATTATATTCTTATTTCTTATTATTTATTTTTGATTTTAAATGATTGTTTCAATATCATCATTTTATTTATATCTATTATATTAATCTTATATCATTAATTTCTATCATTAAATATTAAATAATCAATGTGATATAACAAAATAATTTAATTAATATATCATTATAAAATGAAATGATTAATAAATGATTTCATAATAAATATTAAAATCATGAAATATTGAATAATATAATATAAAATGATAAATAAAAATAAAATGATAATAATAAATAAATAATAATACAAAATATAAATAATAATAAATATAAAAATGATATAATACAAATATAATAATCAAATTAATAAATAAATAAAAATAATTAATAATAATAATAAACAAATAATAAAAATGAATATATTTTTTATTAAACAAATGAATGAATAAAATAAATAAAAAAATATAAATAATAACAGAATAAGAATAAAAGAAATATATATAATAAATAAAAATAATAGAAAAATAGATAGAAAAAGAAATAAAAAAATAAAATATAATAAACATAAAATAATAAAAGAATAATAAGAAAAGATAAAATAAATAATAAAAATAAATAAATAAGAAAATAATAAACATAATATTTATATTAATAAAATACTAATTAATATAATTAATAAAATCAAATATAACATAATATAAATAATAAATATGATAAATAAGAATAAAATAAACACAAAAATAAGAAATAAAATAAATAACAAAAATACAAAAACAAATATAT